CATTTTTTAATGCAGAAAGATGATTATAAATGGTGCATAAAGTATATTACCCTCCAATACCTGCATTTACCTAAATTTACCCACCCTGCAAGACTATGATTTTGGGTATAAAAGTTAGTTGTAAATTATGAAAATATAAATTTCTAACAAAATGCCTTAATGTAACCACTGAAATAACTTATATCCGACCATTATTTTCAGTTTATTATGAAAACCATATTATTATAGGTATAGTCAATTGAAAAAGTGATGCAACATTTATATCTATAATTTCACATTCTGTAATTTCACACAACGAAAACTACGGTCCCAATTATGTGAAATTAGACAACTTTAAGTGTATAATGTTATTATTGTTTAGCAAGTTAATTAATAAAATGTAATTCAATACCCGATTCTTTGCTCCTGAGGTGGTAGTACTGATTGTATGGTATAAACCGATTCTGGAGCCAATAATCGCAATGCACTTCCCGTTGGCTTTCAAACCATACGTTCAAATTGTCCCTCAATTGTCTCATCTGATCTCTGGTCATAAACACATCCACCGCTTCCATTGTATCCAATAATCGGCGGCCTATTATTTATTACCACGTTTTATATTATACTATTACATATAAATTGATAAAATTAGCCTTTTAAAATTTTTTTGATAAACTTATTTACTAAAAACTATAATTGAATACTATTTTAAAATTAATAAACTCTATTTTAAAAATCATGTAAAAGCATATTTTATAGCTAGTGGTTAAACTCCCATAATGTAAATGTTAATAAGTAAACCTAAAACAAAGTCGTTGTCCGTACGTCCGGTCAATACAGTGGTCAACAGTTTCTCAATCAGTTCCACCATAAGCGGTGCCGACCGTTCCCTGCGAGCCGTTTCAGTTGCATAATCCAAATACATGGTAAAACTTGAAAATTTGCACATCGCTAACATCCGGTCCCTCTGTTGGCAACCGCTATACATATAACTCGCAAACAAAACAGACATTTCGTCGAAACGTTGATTTTGATCGGCGAACCCTTTGGACCATTGGATCAATTCTTGTGACACCCATTCGTGGTGTGGATTGGGATTCACCTTTCGGTCAAACAGTGGTCTGATCTTCAGTGACCCGAACTCTGACCTATTCTTCAGCAGCGATAGTGTTGTCATTGTTTTCAATGCTAGAATTGTTTCAAATTTTATTAATTAAAATTTGAAATAAAACTTTGTTTTATAAATAATTTTACTATTTTTATGTAATTAATTCAAATTACAAATAAAATAATGTTAACAAAATTTACATAAGTGTTGTCACAGCAGTTGATATCACATACTAAATATGTCATTATGAATAAATTTAATATTATTTATTTAAGGGTAAATAAAAATATATTCTTTGTAAAACTAGTTTCATGATAATTTGTCAGAAAGTTTTTAATTATAAATAATATAACATTTTATTTGGTATTATGATGATGCTTTTCTTGAAAGTAAAATTCAAATTGAATTCAAATCAATCACGAGTAAATGGAGTAAATATATCTGGATTAAATACCTAAATAATTTTTATTTACATGTTTGAATTAAAACTTTATTTAATAATGATACATTGTAGATCATTTATATTCATAGAAATATTTTATTACTACTGTATTATAATTTTAACAGTTTCTAAGCAGGTGTACCATATGAGGTGTTTAAGAATATTTTGCTGCTCAAGGTAAAAGATGTTTTAATTGTTTTCAGTACTAGAATTAATTTAACTTATAATATTAAAGTTTGTTAATAAACAACAAATACTCTACAATTTCATGATTGCATTATTAATTATTTTATTCATATCTCGATCGTTTATGGCTATTAGTCGGAGATATTTATATTTAATTTTTTCTATCAATATGACCTAAACGAACAGAATTTTGACACTAAAATTGAATGGGCGTCCAATATGTGTTACAATTTGCTCGTAATTATAATCTATGATTATATATAACCACTTTCTGATTGAGATTATATTTATTATTCTTTATTTCATAAATTAAAACAGTACATTTTGCCATTAAAATATAATAATTCAAAAATATCACTCTCTCCAATAAGCATTATGGGCAATAATTGGACTAGGTTTATATTGTGGAGAACCATGGTAAGCTTTGATGGCCGGCAGGGCTTCAAAACGATCCAAATACTGACCAATTGTCGGGTATTTACCAATTGTCTCGGGTGTGAATCGTCTCAACCAATCCAACGCATCGTAACACATGAAGTCTACGTAAGACAACTGTCCGCCGGTTAGCCATTGTTTGTCGGCCAAGAACTTCACCAACAGATCCAACTGTGGTGTAAGAGTGTTGGCCAAGTAGTCGGCTGTCCTGGCCTTATAATCGGGGTGTTTGATGAGTCCATCGACAAAACTGACCTCAATCTCTAGCATCTGCTGTTCGCACATCACTTGTACGGCCCGATCGGCCGCATCGGTAGCCATAAGTCCGTGTTTTTGACCCAAATATCTGAATATAGCCATCGATTGACTCATTTTTACGTTTCCATCGATATAATAGGGAAGGTTAGGGAAGTCGAGTCCCAAAGTGTCCACTTTATCCCAGCCCCAGATCTCACTGTCACTGAATTTATAGCGTTTGTCCGTATAGTTGACGCCCGCGTAGGCCAGTAGTGTACGTATAGGCTGTCCCCTACCCCTACACTCCCAATAGCCAAAAGTAGGTACCGGTGCTGAAGTCATGATCGCTTGTAGTTTACGAAAGTAACATGTGTTTTATTCACTTAATAACTAAAAACTATTAACTATTTATTCTGCAAAGTATGCATCAGCATTTACAGCATATTAGATATAACAAAATGCTTTGTAATTATAACTCTGTTATTTTACTCTATTAGAAATCAATTGCAGTCATAGTAATTGTAATAAATATTAAGGCTTTTAAATAAAATTTGTCAATATTTTGATTAAGAAATTCATATTTTAAAAACTTAATTATATTTCCAATTAACTGTAAAATAAGATTAATAAATTCAATTAAAGTTTAAGTATAAATTTTGTTTAAATATCATTTTTATATGTCTATCAATATTTATATTACAAAATTATAACAATCAAGATAACATTGAGATAGTAGTTAAATAAAACAAATATCAATATTTATTAACATTACAATAATTATTGGTTAATAAATTTATTTAAAAATATTTCGACTGTATTTTTTAAATTACTTTATTACATTGATTTTGGTTAAAAATTTATATTTTAAATTCATACAAATAGTTGTATTTATTTATCAAATGGATTGACAGACAACACATGACTTTCATCTAAGAGTTGCCGTTTCAGTTGTTCCCACTTTTGGCACCAAAACAATCCATCCTTTACTTGAAGCCGAAATATCACTTCAAGTGCTCGACAACAGCCATAACTCGTATCCATTAAAGCATTTACGTAAGCCATGAGCGCCGGTGTCTCAAACTCAGGACCAGTTTTGGTGGCTATAGTGGTGGAGAGGGACTGACACTCGGCCTCCAAGTGTTTTATGAGCTGAAAATGTGAGTCGAGTGCCGTCTGAAGACTGCATTTCTCGGTCGAGGCGTAAGACATGACACCAGTGGTGATGTCATTGGCGGCCAGTTTTGACATCAAACACAAATAGTCTTCGGCTGCGAGATATAGTTTTGTGGTCGCAGTCAACAACTCACCCATCGGTATATACCTAAGCACTTGTTCGGTGGGCTTGTAATTCACACTGACCTCGATCAATAGCCGGAATATTAGCCAGGCTATTTTTATAATTTATGTAATAGAGTATTAATTAAGTTATAAATAAATATAATTCAATGCAATACCCGATTCTTTGCTCCTGAGTTCGTTGTATTGATCGTATGGTATGAACCGATTCTGAAGCCAATAATCGCAGTGTATATCCCGATGGGATTCAAACCATGCCTTTATTTTTTCCCTGATGTCTGTCATCTGATCTCTGGTCATAAACACATCCAAAGCTTTCAACGTATCCAATAATCGTCGGCCTATTGTTTTTTACCACGTTTTATAAATGTGTATAATAATATATTTATAAAATTCATATTTCAATTATAAAAATAGTCAATTACTGTAATATATAGACATTACATTATAGTCATTATGTTACTTTATTATTTATAATTATTATTACATATATAATTGTATAAAATAGATAAATACCTAAATCAAATCCTTGATCCGTACATCCGGTCAATAGAGTGTCCAACAGTTTGTCAATCATATCTACCATAAGAGGTGCCGACCGTTCACTGCGAGCACTTCCCATGTGTTGATCCATATATCCAAACATGCTCATAAATTTTCCGATTGCTAACATTCGGTCCCTCTGTTGGCAACCGCTATACATATAACTCGCAAACAAAACAGACATTTCGTCGAAACGTTGAGTTTGATCGGCAAACCCTTTGGACCATTGGGTCAACTCTTGTAATACCCATTCGTGGTGTGGATTGGGATTCACTTTTCGGTCAAACAGTGGTCTGATCTGCAGTGACCCAAACTCTGACTTATTCTTCAGTAGCAATAGTGTTGTCATTGTTTTCAATTTAATTGTAAGTTATAATCAATTAAAATTACCAATTTTGTAATTAGTAATGTTTTGCAAATATGGTTACATAGTATACTTACTTTTTAATTTACACATATATATTTATAATTAATTGATTTTCTTAAAAGTAAAACTCTTAAAAGTTTTAGCAAAAAATATTTTTATTTAATTTTATGAACAAAATTATAAATAAACTTTTATTTTTATTCATCAATGATTCAAAAGACAAATAAAATTTACAAATATTATTATTTTTTTCAAATGTTTAGAAAAAATATACTTTTTGTTTTGTTGTGTAATTTATAATTTTGTCAATAATTTTTAATAATAATTAATAACTCAATCAATACTTTCTCTTATTTTCTATACAATTAATAATAATTTGGTTTTAATTATTTAAACACTTTTCGTAAATCATTCATATTATATGTTATATTAAATTCAATAAACACTTGGTATTTGTCAGAAAAATAAATTTAAATTCTCATCAAAATATTTCATTTTATATTAAAATTATATTGATTTTTGTTTTACAATTTTGTGCACAAAAATTACAAATTAAAACAAATTAAAAATAACGTCAAATGTATTACAAAATTATACAATAATTGTATTTTGTTGTTATGCTTTCATATGTAATGGCAATTAAAATTAATTTTTAAATAATTTATAACAAAAATGTCATCTCTCTCTCTCTCTCTCTCTCT